ATAATTCAATGAAATGATAATCTAATTAAATGGTATATCTTATTTTTATATATGTCATTAAAAATAAGTAAAACATCAAATCAGTAACACTTGGCTGCGCCTTTGATGTCTACTACCTTAGTGTCCCGTTTCTGTAAATACTATACTGTTACTATTATGTCCACTTCGGTTTCATTTGTGATTTGTATTTGAATTACAAATAATTTCACTTAAAATTAAATAACTTATCAATATTAAATTAAAATGCATTGAAGTGTTTTATATTTTCATTAACCAACAACGATTTTCACACTTGCGATTTTTAGTAATGAATTTTAAAAACTAAAAACAATAATTAAAGTTTCAGATTTCTCACATAAAAATTGCAGGGTCATTGAGCGGAATACATTTTATTTTATTAAGTAACTTAATACTCTATTAAAATATTGATATACATATATTAAATATATTAACTATGTCTAAATTCATGATTAGTAGTCCTCGTAATTATTATGTGTCCAAAAAAAGCTAGTATGGCACCATCATCGATACATATATTGATGATTTAATTAAAATAAGTTTAATGTCTATTTTTTTTACAATATATTTAATATATATATCACCTGGAATAAGTGTTTTTTTTTTTTTAATTTACTATCTTTTATTACGATCTATCACTTAAGAATAAATAATGAACAATGTTCAAGAGTAAGTGGCTGAATACTTAAAATTATTGTGGGCTTGAATGGACTGTACTCAATAGCACATCCGTCTTTTGAAGTCGGTCACAGATTACAGATTCCTTCTGCTATAATTACAAAAACAAAATAGTTAGTAAATATTGCATACGTTTTTCGTGATTTCTGTCTTGACTTTTTATAACTACGGGGATGTTCAGATCACGGTGTATACATTCATTTGTTATATATCTAGGAGCATTTGAGATTATTGTAAGATTTTTTGATTGAAAACGTTGGATAGTATCTATACGTAGTAGTTCCCTAGAGTTCAATGTCATAAGCCCAAAATAAATAAAAAAGATGATATTTACAATAACTTAACATTTCTATTTGAAGTTTTCATTATTAATAAGTAATCAATTAGATCTACATTACTTGTAACAATTTGCTTAGCAACTTATATGATTTATTAATTTTTTTAATTCAAAACAATTTGCTTTAAAATGTTAATACCTTGATTGATTGAAGTTCACAACTATTTATGAATAATTACTAGAAACGTATTATTTTTATCTAACTATTGTCTTTGTGTATGTCATTTAAATATGTTAAGAAAATGATTGTAGCTACAATTAAAGCTTATTGTAGTAAATAATTTAACCTATAGAATTGTTGAAACTTTTTAAATATTCAAGAATATAAGTTGGTGTTATGAGATTTTTATATAGAAGAGTATTTTTAAATTATTTTTTAATTCTCCTTTTGTGAATATAAATCATAAGAAAGGGTAAATTTGACGTAAATTTACTTCTTTAAGATAAAATTATATTTTATCAGGAAAGAAATAAAATTCCTGAAGTTGTCATGCAACGAAATCAGTTTCCGTTGTAAACATAAAAACAGATTTAATATTCATTCGTAATTTTGTTATCAAATACTTTTATTAGTAATCAAGCACTTTTTTGTTTGAAAAGGAATTAACTTTTTATAAAAACATAAATTTGAAACATATTTTTTTTAATTGCTATTTTTAAAAAACTAAGTTTATGTTCATGATTCAATTAATTAATTGTAAGACTACAATAATTTACATATATAAAGTTATCAATTGACTCAGAACTTTTTGTTTTGTTTTTTTGGAATTGAAATTTGTTTAAAGAAAATAATTATTTCATATTTCACATAAGTATACTTAAAGCATTTTAAGTATTATTTAAACTTAATTTCTGCTGTTTTGTTAATTGTTATTTTAATGTTTGAGTGCTTGTACGCCCAAGTAAGAATGTCAGTACATATCAATTCTATCACTACATATTCACATATTAATGTCAGTATTAGGGGCACTTTTACAAAAATATAGATAATATAGAAAATATCAGCTAATACAGTAAAAATACATAGTTCATTTGTAAAACTTTACAGATTTATTGATCACTTCACAATACTACAATACGATTAAGAAATCAGGTAAAAATACAGGCCTAACTATCTGCAAACGCTTGATAGAATAAAATAAACCGAAACACTATAGTAGTCTAAGCACCTTACAGCTGCTTATCAAGCATTATCCTATATGATACCCTGTATGCCGGAAAATATATAAAATAGACTCCTCACCAGTACAATTCTTATTTATGGGAGTAGATCTCTAATATATGGAGGTGATATCCGTATATTAGAAATATTTGAAGCAATCTGAGGTGTTATAAAAATTGTGCATATCGAAATCATATTTTTCAGCAGTCATCATTGGCAGCAGGTGTATAAATAATATATTTTAGAATTTTCTTTATTGACGTGAGCATTTAAAGATAAATTTATAATTAAATAATATAAAATAAAAACACACATTAGTACTACTATTTTCTGAGACGTAAAGTCTATTTTAAATTTGTTTAGGAAATTAAATTATTAAATCAATTTTATTGCACAGGAAAGTTGAGATATAAATATTTGTTTATATCATGATTTAATATCTAAAAATAAAAATATTTGTACATTGTATAGATTATAATTAATATTATTTTAGAGAACTTTGTAAAATGGTCAAAATAATTTTAATACTTTATTTAATACTTTATTATAAGCAATAATTAAAAAAGTTGTGATTCCTACTAAATTGCTTTTATGGATATTTAAATGTTTATTTTAGTTTGGAGTTAATTAGAACTATGATTCGAACTTGCTTAGTATTTGTTAATTTCGTATTTAGCTAAATACCACTGAATACATTACATATTTAAATGTACAAATATTTTTAACTATAGATTGTTTAATATAAAACAATATTAAATTAATCTTTTTATGAGAGTAAAACGTACTATTAATTTAAATGATGCTTTTTATACTTTTTAAAATATCTAAAAATAAAATATTTTGTTATTTCGTAATACCGGAGGTAACCTACTTCCTAATCTATATAAAAAGAATAATAAAAATATTATTACCCATCAACATATACATATGTATATATAATTTTTATTGTTATATATAGTACTTTTCCACCTAATTTTTTTATCTTTTTTTGTAAATACGCCTGTAACCACTTTTTCTATCTATATTTAGAATTTGACGTTTTTTAAATAAAAACTACAAACAGTTATTAATAATTTTATTAGAATTCTTTTTGGTATGGATCTCTTGTATTTAAAATATTCCAGTAGAATCATATACGTATGTATAGATGATAAATCCATTCAAAATCCATCATTATTATTATATTAATGAAATGCTAGAAGAGATTTTGTAAATCTCAAAAACACTTTGTATTTTAAAATTATATTTGTTAATTTTTATTTATAAATTTAGTTTTTTATACTATGTATATTCTTTTTATATCGTAAGATCAAACTATTTATTCGTGTGAACTATTAATATTATCTAATCAAATTTTATTGATGATTTCAGTTGATAGCCATATATTTGCATAATTTGTTATCTAATTTAATAAAATCTTACCTCATCTATGGTAAATAAATTCAGAAAAAGTATATAAAAATAAATAATCAAGCTATTATTCATTCAAAGTAGCAGCAATTTATCACGTACAAAAAATATTGATATATTGTATTCATAAAATAGTGTAAAATTTTTATTAATGTATTACTCTTTAACCTTTTATAGAATTTTTCATCTTATCAGTTACTTATATTCGAAACTAGATCTTAGATAAATTAAATTAAAATATTATTAAGTAAAGAGGTTTCGGAAAGTAGAGAACTACAACAACAAAAAATTATTTTATATTATTTTTAATTAATTGAATTATTGGCTAACCATACTAACTCTGCCATATTATTAATATTATTTTTTGATTGTATTAAGATATCATTATTATTATCTTATAAAAACGAAGAATATTATATTATGAATATTATATATTACAAATATATACAAATATAAGCTAAGGGCATTTATCGTTCTTGCTTATAATAATATTTATTATCTTTTAAATCTTGCAAAAAATAAATAAAAATATACCCAGTTACTACTCCTAATACATATATAGTAATGTTTCTTTGGTTTTCTAAGTTCAGAATATAAGCTAAAAATCGTATGAAATCTTGTTTTCCTTTATCAAATAGAAGGCAGCTTTAGCCTTTTAAGTCTTGTGCCTAACAATAAAAATATAGTGGTTAATCAGTGAAAATGGTTTTATTGTATTTCAAAGTATTCTCCATGATGATGTCTCCATCATCATCATGTATGGGAACAAGAAGAAGTCATTGGGTGACAAGTCGGCAAGTGAAAAGTATAGAAAGCCTCTCTATGAGACTTCAACTCATTTAATTTATGTTTAAGATTAATTTTTGATATATTTAAAGCATGTAGAACATGCAAATCCGTTGTACTCTTGAATGAATCATTTATTAGCAAATTAGGTTATAGATTTTAAAAGTAATTTTAGAACTTTTTATTAAAGTCTTTTGAATTTACGAAAAATGGGTAATTAACTATATTAACTATTAACTCTGCTTAAATAACGATTAAAGACAATTTTATTTATTTAAAATTTTTGTAAATAATATTAAATAAAACAATAACAAACAATATCTTCAAAATATTGTTCCTAACTTTAAATTGTTATAAATAAAAAATGTGGTGTATTATAATTAATTGTATTCGAATAAATTAGAGTTTTTTATCTTCATAAATATTAAAGTGATTAAAAATAAAAATTTATGCAAATTACAAATAAATACACACATAAATTTCATAATCAAAAAGAAATGTGTTTTTCTGCCATTTATTAGTAATATATTATAATATCTTTAAAAATAGTATCAATATTGATTTTAATTAACATATATTTATGTTCTATTATGTTTTTTTTTTTTGAAGAATACTTCAATTCTGGTCAAATTGAAATTTCTAATACAAAACTGTGAAGGAAGAACCGGAATACAAATTATTTTCATTATTCACTGACAGCAACTGAACACCTCAAACTCACGCATAGAAAACAATGTCATTTCGTGTTGTACGAAGTTCGAAATTCCGCCACGTCTATGGCCAAGCACTGAAACGTGAACAATGCTACGATAATATACGCGTTTCAAAAAGTAGTTGGGACTCAACATTTTGTGCGGTAAATCCAAAATTTTTAGCCATCATTGTCGAATCAGCAGGAGGCGGAGCATTTATTGTCCTTCCTCATAATAAAGTAAGTACAAATGAATAAATTTTTAAAATATTTTTGTTATTTAGAGTACATCTAAATTTATCAAGACACTATATTTTTCGTTTTGAATGGTTATAAAAAAATTTCAATCCATATAAAAAGTACTCAATTACAGAAAAATGTTTCGTGTATCACAACGCACTCCGATAAAGAAAGTTTCATTGGAATATAGAATTTATAAAACTTGGCATACGCTTTCCAACCATCTTAATAATATATATATTATAGTTTTTCATACTATTACAAGAAGAAGATAGAAACTTGAGCGTAATGTCAATCGATTCCGGAATACTCGTGTTAAAGAATAGCATGAAAGACTAAATCAGTATTAAGTGATTTAATATAGAGAATTGTAAGAAGAGCATTCCTTTTGTCGGCTAGCTATTTAGTGATTCAATTTTATCTACTTATGCAATATTTTCTATCATACCATGGCTTCGTAACAAACTACTCTATAAGACTTTAAAAAATTTAATCAAAGACTGTGATCGACTAGATATTCAATTGTAGTGGGCTGTTTTTGTTGTAGCTATAGATTAACTCAACTCCTTTCCTGAAAATGATGAAACTCTATGTGAGTATTGAGAGACAGTCATTCGTCAATGATGAGTATTAAAAGAACCTATACCGGACAACATTTGGGACCAATTATGAATGCCTTCTAATGCAGTTGCTGATTTCTCTATATTTTCGTTTATTTTTGTTTTATAATCAAACATTAACTAGATAACATTAACTGTTAACATTACAACCAGTTCCTGAAAGTAATAAGAAGATTTTTGGCTTCTTATTTTACAGGCCTATAAGTCTACTACAACCAGTCTTTGTCTAATTTTTTTTTTTAATAAACTGTATTATCGCGATGAAGATCAGTGCTCCTGATATATCACAGTGTATTTACAATGCGTCTTAGCACATTACTTTGAATAATGTGTTTTCGCAAGAATAATGCTATTAGCAGGAGTAGATCCTGAGTATATGGCAGTATATAAAATTGGGCCTAATATATGATCGCTATGGCTGTACATCTGCTGTTGTGATTTCTAAGTATGAAAAAATGATTTCATGCTTGATTTCACTTGTTATTAATCTCAAAATCTAGATATGGATATCGTTTTTATATTAGATAATTTCATCGTGGCAAATATTTTCACTATACTGCTACACTATTAGTCTCTACAAAAAAAATGAGTACATCTTTACCAAGAGAGATTCATAGACCTACCCTAAGAGTTTATTACACACAATAATTAACTAAAGAAAAGCATAAAATTTTATATTTTACTTTTCCGAAATTTGTAAGAAATACAATCATTTTAAACAATGTTGACTTTATCACTCTGCAATAGATAAACTTTAATCTAGTAATCGGTATGGATCCAGTGGACTTTATGCATGGTCACCTCTACGGAAATCAAGTTGTATCTAGTTCCCTACAAGCATTTAACAACTTTTATATATTAATATCTTTTAAATATAAATATTTTTTTATTAATAAATATAAATATAATTTTCGATCGGCCCAAATAAAATAATCCAAAAATATAATTTTTAAGCAAAATAAGCATTTTCAAAATTTTAAGCAAACAATGCTTTATTTGGAAAAGTGCTTATATTTAATTCAGTTTTTCTATATAAAACAAATGTATATTTAAAATAAATTTATTTATATATTCCTCTTTTTAATTATTTTTCTTCTTTTCACTTATTTTAATTTATAATTTTTGCGCGCGTTACCTCAATTATTGGGCAATTGCCAATTAAATTTCAATTTTAAACATGCCCGAAAAAATCTATTTATAAAAAGTCATTCTGAACGGAAAAGAAAAAAGAAATCACTTTCTAAAAATTAAAATTAAAATTAAAATAAATAATCGCTAAGCATTAAAAAAGTTACAAATTATGGATCATTTAAAAATAGGTCGGTCGGTTGGTTGGTTGGTTGGTGGCTTGGTGACTATCTCCAATGGCATTATAGAATTTGGCTCGCTGTTGGATCGTTTGCTGCTGGTCAATCTGATGCGTTGGCGTTGTTGTAAAAAGTTGCTAATATATTATTGCATTTATAAATAATTTGTGTCTTATTCGCAATTAAGAAAATATATTTGCATTCGATGTGCGTTTTTAATTTTATTTTCTGCGAAATTTATGTTTTTTATTTTTTTATAAAGTTTGTGAACGTTTGCCATTGCATTTATTATTCACTTTATAAAAAAAAATTACTTGAAATTAAATGTTTTAATTAGTCATTCTTTATAAAATTAGTCACAAAACTCGCAATTTATAAGATGGATTACTTTTAGCATTAGCATTTATTCTTTAGTTTCATGTTTTACTTAATTCGTGAATTTAGTTTAGAGATAATTCATAAAAATAATTTTGTTCCAACATAAAAATACATTCACCAACACCAACTTGATAACTTAACTGAACTTTGAGAAAAGTTAAAGAACCAATTACTCACATTTAATATGACGAAGCAATATAAATAACCAAGCAATGTGCTTCAAACAATAAATAAATAAAATTCCATAATATACGAGCAAATACGACACTATATACCTAGATTTATATGTTATTCATATAAATATAACCAATATAGTCCGTCATACGTGACCAACAGCATGTGATTTGTTGCAATTTCTATAATCATATTCATAAATTATTTTTTAAACTATTTTTTAATATCCATAACAGACATATTTGTTACCCTTATAAAAAAATGCATATTTTGCCTTTATTATTTTTATGTATTTAGATAAATTCCGGGTATTTTAAACGTTCTGTAAAATCAGTACATTTACAATATTTGCAGGGAGATAGGGTGTTAAAGAAAAATCGTTCAAATATAAGTTCATTCCAAAATTAATCATTAGTCAATGCATTAGTTTAAATCAAATTCTTCTCTAAAATATTGTTTCTTATATATCAATACATTATTATCTTTCGACAATTTCTTATTAATGAAGCTTTGGAATATTAATCACTGTTTTCTGTTGATTGTCCTTTAAAGTGATTTACCATCTCACTTTTGCAACAAAAACGCAAAAATTTATTTATTATACATTCTAGCAAGTAAGTGCCTTTTAATCAAAAAAAGTAGTATTAATGAGAACAGTAATGAGTTTTTTGTTCCAATATGTCCTCAGAACACAATGTTACCAATAACAAAATTAAAAAATTAGATGACAGAATTAGTTAAGTTTTTATAATGCTTTACTTCATCTGTTAGACAGACTAGTCTCGTTAAGACTTATTGACGAGACAGTTCTATCCAGTCTTTGCCTGCTATAGTCTTCGTGTTTTTTTCGTTACGATTTCGTACTTACGTTCTGCAAATCCACTTATACCTAACTCTACTGATTATTGATAAATGCCGTTAATACATCTTAAAGTTCCAAGATTTGTGGGCTGAAATAGACTCTCTTTTAAATCTATAACCTTAACGTAAGCGACCTCTGCTTCAGATTCAGATGTGCAGATTTTATCAGCTATATTTACATGTGCTATAGTTATCAAAATGTTGGAGTATCCGTAAAGTCCATGTTATGGAGACCTTATTTTCTAATATTGAAAACTTCCCATATAAGTTACTGAGTTAATAAGTTTTAGTTTTTTAGCATATTTATGGAACCTTATTTTTAAAACAACATTCACTTGGAGATATATTTATGCCTTCTGTATTTTTCAATATTAGCACTGATTTAGTGAATAGGGATGCATCAATAATAACAATTGTGATTGCAATTTCTACCTTTCCAAATGTAAGAATGGTATTGGATTTTAAATTTGTTTTAATTCGCAGTGTTTTTCACATATAAGCATTTTATGCAAAATTATTAACAATTTTAAAGTTAATATTTTTAAAGCTATGAAATTTTTGTAGAAATTAAAAGTGTTAGCAAAATATTTGAATGACATTTAGTAATAATAGCACAGTTTTCTACATGTCATCTTAAATTGGTATATCTCGATCTAGAGTTTTCACACATCTGCCATATATTTTTAAACAGATTAGTTAATATATTTTTGACAATTTTTAAATTTCTCTTTGATTTTTTCTTTTAGTAAGATTTGGCTGTATGCCCGATATTGCTTATTTGACCCTGTTTACTGATAAAATTTAAGTAAACAGATGAGAAATATTTTATAGCAATTTTTACACTAACTAAACGTTTATTTAAAAAGTTTAATATCACTTTCTTCAACAACGCCTTCGCCACCTGTTTATTTATGATGTCACGGCACGACACCTTACGTTTCGATGTATTACTCCTCATTGTAATGTGGATGCAGACTAAAAGACATTAACATTTTACTTAAGACACTTTTCACATTTAAACGACAAGTGTCGCATGTTGAATTTATTAAAAAAAGAAAAAAAATGACAAAAACAAAAAAAAGGAAAAACAAAAAAAAAAAAATTTAATTCAGTGCGAATATTGAATAATTGGGTTAACATCAGCAGTGATGGTCAATAGACCAAGTAAAACATCGTCGAACATATGTGTAGGAGGCGTACATAATTTAACAGTCAGGTTTCTGTTTCATGCAATAATTCAAAAATTGAAATGAAATATTAAGTTGTATAGAATAATATTAAAAATATATTAACTTAGGAAATGCATTTCTCTTTATTAATAGGTTGGTCGTATAGCAGCAGATCATCCACTTGTCGGAGGACATAAAGGTCCTGTATTAGATATTGCTTGGTGTCCGCATAACGACAATGTAATTGCTTCAGGATCAGAAGATTGTGTTGTAAAAGTTTGGCAAATACCAGATGGTGGCTTATCGCGCACATTAACAGAACCCGTCGTCGACTTAGTATTTCATCAGCGACGTGTGGGGCTTGTGTTATGGCATCCCTCAGCCTTAAATGTATTACTAACAGCTGGTTCAGATAATCAGGTTTGTGTTACATTATTCTTATAATTCCATAACGATATATGATTTTTTAGGTGGTCATTTGGAATGTTGGAACTGGTGAAATTTTAGTACATATCGATTCACATCCAGACATTGTGTATAGTGCCTGTTTTAATTGGGATGGCTCAAAATTAGTAACTACTTGTAAAGATAAAAAAATACGTATATATGATCCACGTAGCGGAGAAATTGAAAGTGAAGCATTATGTCATGAAGGTTCAAAAGCCACACGTGCCTTGTTTCTGCGTCATGGACTTATCTTTACAACAGGTTTTAATCGTTCCTCCGAAAGACAATACTCATTACGTGCACCAGATGCTCTGAATGAACCAATTGTTATGGTAGAATTAGACACATCAAACGGTGTTATGTTCCCATTATATGACGCTGACACAAACTTAATATATCTCTGTGGTAAAGGTGATTCAGTTATACGATATTTTGAGGTAATATACAATGAAAATATAAATCACTTAGTTTTAAAGAAATATTTTTAACAAAAGTGTTCTTATTGCAGATTACACCAGAGCCACCTTTTGTGCATTATATTAACACATTTCAAACACCGGATCCTCAGCGTGGTATTGGTATGATGCCAAAACGTGGCTGTGATGTCACAACATGTGAAATTGATAAATTTTACCGCCTCAATAATAACGGCCTTTGCCAAGTTATATCAATGACAGTACCGCGCAAATCTGATCTTTTCCAGGAAGATTTATATCCAGACACACTTGCTGAAGATGCTGCACAAACTGCGGAAGATTGGATAGCTGGAAAGGACGCCGATCCAGTCACATTTTCCCTAAAAGTAAGTTACATAATATAAGAGCTTAACACGGTTTAAATAATTTGATAAATTGGAATACAGATTTTTAGATTTAATGTCAAAAAAATCAAATCAAATAATTTAACCAAGTAAATGGACGTTGAATTCAAAGATGAATGAATCATTACATTTCGTTTTTTTTTTTTTGTATATATATATTTAATAGGATTTATTTATATTTTTTAAATAATTTATTAAAATTTCAATTCATTTTCAGTTTTTTGAAATTTATAATAATTTTTTTTAATGAGAAAATAAATATTTTAGAAAAATAAAAATCAATTTTGAATTTCTAAATTAAAAAACTGTTATAAATATGGCCGGTAATTATTTATGATAAGATCACTTATAATGAAATTGGTATGTTTTCATATTAATACTTCTTGAAAACTTAAATTATTCCAAATTTATACATATTTTTCATTTAAAATAACATTTTATTTAATCTAACAGGTAAATATCTTTGCTTAACTTCTTCATACTTAAATTTAGTAAAATTTCGCTATTTATTGTTTTTTTCAATCAGAGAAAATTATTTATAAATTTATTTTAAATTTCATTAAATTTTAAATTTCATGTAAATTAAATTTTAAATTTCATGTAAATTAAATTTTAATTAGATAAATTGAGTAAATTTTTTTTTAATATTTATCTTATATAAATACTGTAAAATTATCTGATTTTGATTCATTTTCTTTTTTTTTTTAATTTAATAATTATTTTTTTTTAATTTATCTTACATTAATTTAAAATAAAATTAAATAAAATTAAATTAATTTAAATAACTGTTTAAATTCATACAAATTATACAAATTCTATAAAAGTATTCTACTTTTAATTGGAAATAAATTAAAAAGAAAATTAATTTTTATTTTAATTAGTTTTTTTATATACTTTATATTCAAATTTAAAAAATTTTTTTTGATTTGAAGACACTTTTTTTTAATTCAAAGAAAGCAATCTTCAATTGATTAATTTTAATTTTATTATAAATCTAGTTTAAATTTAATGAATAATTTATTGAAGTAATTTTATATATTCAATTCATTAGTGTTTCTATCTGAATTTTTCATTGATGAATTTTACATTAATGGTATCTTTTAATTATAATTATTTTATTTTATTAAATTATAAAAAATTTAAATTATTTTTTATTTTATTTTAAATTTGATATATTCAATATATTTTATTTTGATTGAAGTACTTGTATTCCAAATACCAAATTAATTATAATTTTGTCCGTTGTTTTTGCTATGCAATTTGCTATTATATTCATTGTTTAATGTTTTTGGAGATTGTATCATTTTTCGTAGTTTGCTAATAAATTTAGACAAGAAAAAGTTCTTAAAAGTATTACTAGAGCTCATTAAATTATAAAAGCTTCTTGTGTTATAAAGTAGTTAACGTGCTACAGGTTATTAAAAGGAATTATTTTTTACATTATTTTTGTATTAAAAGAATAAGAATAAATATATATCATATTATTATAGAGATAATATATTCAAATAGACTTCTAAAATATATTCAAATCGACTTCGAAAATACGTTACAATAAATAAATTATATTAATAGAGTAACAATGAGGCTCAGTTAATTTTTTTAATTTTTATGCTACTAGGAATTATATTAGTTTATATTATATAAGATTCAAAGAAGTTCATTTGATTTGTGATAAAAACATATATTATGTACAACTTACAAATCAGATTGCATGTTAAAATAATACAAATATGAAATCAGTTAATTTAAAAAATTATTTTAATAGCTGAATTTTTTTCAATATGGTGCTTAGGAAATTGTCTAAGAATAATAATATCATAATTTCTCATCAGGTGATAAAAACGTTTTGAAAAAATAATAAAATAGTTTATTTATTACTATATTAGTACTAATAATAATTAGAATAAAAGTAATATGTATAGAGTATAGTTTTTATATATATGAAACTTGTCTTTTTTACTATTAATTTGTATTGTTGTATATTTTATTGAATTGTTGATATAAGCAAATTAAAATTACTAAAATGTTTAACTTTTCACACTGACGAAACTTATTCACACTGGAAAGTAAATTGTAAACACTGAGAGCAAAAAAAGACAACAATTAAATTACTACTATTAAATATAATAACATTAGAAGTATAATAATATGTATAACGAACATTGATTAGGGACGAAAGTAGAATTTGTTATATATTTTTGACTCTTTTTAGTAGATTGCTGTAAGCCTTCTTGATCCTTTATAATTCTGTTTGACATAGAATTTGGTGATATCTGCCATTGGTATACGAATAGGCTAAGATATTTAAGAAAATTTCATCCTCTCGAAAAAATAATACTGAAGGTGTGAAAGTATACTATACATTTGGTTAACTAATAACTAGTACATAGGCGAATAAAGTCGAAACAATCGTCCCATCATCAATTGTCAAGTACTACTCGTTAAATTTTCTACTAGTGAGAATACTAGAAGAATACAATTTTTGTGATTAATGTCACATTAAATAACTTCAGTGTTAAAGCTAATTTAAAAACAAAATAAATAAATAAAATATTTAAATTAATTGTCACAACCAATAAACAAAATTCCAGAAAAATGTACGAACATAAAAGTCAAGTACGGTTCTGGGTTAATTGGTTAAGGACACTGACTCTGAGCATCAAATTTGGCAGGACACGAGTTCGATTCCGGGTACTTGCAGTCTCAAAAAAAAAAATTAACCACATTTTTATAAAATGTCTAACTAAAATTAAAAACAATTGAGGATTAGTAATAGAGACTTATAGAGGGTTAGTGTTATAGAGTATTAGTGTTATATATATTTTATTGCAAAATCACTTACCAAGAGAATTTATTTTTTCTGAATTTTTTACAAAATCATTTCAAAAAATGCAGTCGTTTTTCATAATTCATACATACAAAGTTTTTCAACATATACATACGCAAACAAGCACGCTTTCATAAAGCTAACACGCACGTTGCGTGGCGTAGTTATTTGTTGTGTTATTTGTTTTTAAGTTTAACAGAACAGAATTACTAAAAAGTCTTAAAAGGATCGTGTTTCTATTGTACAGGGTGGTTACGTCTCACAATCCGCCAATAAATCACTATCGGTGACGAAGAAAGCGAATATACTGAACAAATCCACGGCGGGCACATCAAAAAGTGCCAGCAGTATGGCAATTGGAGGAAATCATACAGCAAGCAATAATAACAATTCAAGTGGACCTACACAAATAGGAATAACGGTATTTTCATAAATATATATTCTTTGTTTATTAGATTTTGAAATAATTTCATAATTTATAAATTTTTTTTAAATATTAGGATAAGGACCTTCGGGACATAACGGACGAAATACGGAAACTTAAAGCAATTATTGTGAAACATGAAAATCGTATACGTGCTCTGGAAGCAACGATACGTTCACAGAATGAAGCGGACGCTATCGATGCGGCCAAAAGTCAGATCGGCAACAACAGCAGCAGTGACGCTGTCAAATCCACCCCAGAAAGCAACAACAAAGAAGATAATGAAAGTGCCAATGATTATAGCCACACCTCCGCGCCAGATGAAGTCTGAATGTAAACTTAAAAGTGAATTTAGCACTGCGACGCTTTTGATAATTTTAAATATATATATTTTTTTTTTAAATTAATTTATTATACATATTTGTATTTGATATAGTGAGAAAAATGAAAATATTGTATTAAAAAATGAGAAGAACTAAAATACCTAAAATCCATAATTAATTTTTGTTTTTTATTAGAAGTTGAACTCTCTTCTTTAAAGTCTACTTTATTTTCACACTGAATCGACAATATTTTAATGATATCAACTTCTGTCGAAACGAAACAATTTTTCTGTATGTAAATTCGTCCTACAATAAATAAACTACATTTATTAACATATTAAATATTAAAATTTGTATATTTAATAAGATAAAATGAGAATTAATTTTTTACATATTTCGCATACCTAGCTTATATATTAAATTATACTTAACAACTAATAAAGTGATTGCAAAGATAGGGAAACTATTTTTCTAAAATATTTTTTGATATATTAAAAAAATTAACTAAATATATGATTAACAATCTAATTAAAAGGTTAATTGCAGGGTCAAAAAAAAAACAAAAACAATAAATAAAAGATAAAAGATAAAATAAAAAAATGTATTATGAAATATTTTTTATTAAAGAAATATTGTTTGATAAAATTTAGCCATAATATTTAATATAAAAATTATATAAGTTGGCTTTAAATCGAACAAGTAAAAGAGTGTAACTGATCAAATATGAACAGTAAAACACAAAGTAAAAGTAAAAAAATTTTACCCCGTGTATTAACCACAAGCAACTGATTTTATATGCCAAATTAAAAAATGAATTAACAAAACTACCTTAATAAACTTAAATATTAATCGTAAAATATATTTCAACTTGTATATTAGAAAAATGCTCTCTAGAAAAACTATATGTTTTTATACCAATTTTATTTTTTATTAATTTTTGTATTAAATGTGTTAGTTTTTTTTTTAATAATTTTTTTGTAAAACAAGAGAAAAGTTATTTGTAAATTCCAAATGTTTATTGTTTTTTTATTATTGTGTTTAATTTGTATATTAATTTTAATTGATGATTAATTAAATAATTTGATTTTAATTATAAATACATTTTTAATTTCTATTGTTAAATGATGATGTTTAGTAAAAATAAAATAAAATTCTTTTACAAATATAATTTGTTTTGTTTTTGTATTATTTTTAAACATACAATTCACTTATTATTACATACAACAGGATTTGACTATAAAATTTGACTATAAATTAATAAACTTTCCTACCGATCTTTTATATAAAAAGTAAAAAAATTAAAACTATTATAAATAAGTTTGACATAAGATATTTTCAAATTACATACATTTATGTATTATATACAATTGCTTTTGCATAACTAAATAAAATGAAGGCCATAACTTCTTCTAAGGTGCTTATAAATAAATAAACAATAATTTTTTACAATTTTAAAATAAAATATTTCTTTCTTAATAAATTTATTTAAAAATATTTCTTAGACTTGTCTGGTTTTCAAAGCAAAAACATATTTTATTTATAATATTTATGTGCTTAAGTGAACAATAAAAAATTGCAAAGTTATAACGTCTTGATATCTTTATTGAATCTATTTTGCCATGATTTACATTTTTTTCACTTTCTCACTCTTTTTTAACAATTTGAATAACTGAAACAATAATCCTATTTTTAGAATATCCAATTTCAATACAAAAAATTAATAATTTAAAAATACAGCGAATTTTTAAAAATATTTGTGTTATTATTTAGCATATTTCACACAATCCAAAAATAAAAGGTATTTATGAAAAAAAATTAGGTTTTGAAAGTGTTCTAGTTTTACGATATTCACGAAGATCGACTATACTTGAACAAGATATGGTGTTAGCATACTTGTAAGCGGCTTGCTGTGCTCAAACATATTCGAACATCGAAATGCTTCAAACGTCAAACATCTCGAATAATATTTGAGTTCTTAATTTTAACACGTCATATAGTAGGTCCAGGAAATAACAACTAAAAGAACAATGATAATATTTACAATTCAAAGAATTGGTGACTTAAATATTAATACAGTATGTATGGGCACGCAAAATCGAAGGCTTTAAAAATATCCATACTTAAATATTAGTACAAGTACTTATGAAATACACATATATAGCCTTTGCTTTGAGTATTACTGTATTGTAGCAAAATATAAAGAATAGTCAATGATGGTTTTTACAGCAAGCTAAAAATAGCAAAAATAAAAATAATAAATTTAAAAAAAAATTTTATTGTGTGTATCTAAATTAATCTTGATTATGTAGTTTAAGGTTCTATTTTAATATCTTATTTATGATACATAAATTTTAACAAAATTAATGTGCATTACAAAATAAAGCTTCATATAGAACTGAAAACTGTAAGTACTAAACACAATAAAAAAGTGTTATCCAACACTACCCCATACATACCTGTTTTATTTGACAGCTGATTATTTGGTATAGAAAATTACTTCGGTAGCATACTTTTTGTGCGAATTCGATTACGTTTATTCTGTTCCGTTCATTCCAATTTTGTTATAGAGTGTGGTAGGTCGACTAAAGAAGTTCGGAGGCTAGAAATTTGTGAAGTTAACAAAAATTATATGTGAAGAATTCAAAACAAGTTGAATAAATCTTTAACAACTAATATATATGAATCAGTAAAGTAGTGATGGCAAAAAGTACAAAATAATAATTACATAAGCGAATAATAAAGAAAAGCACAAAACAAACTGGAAAAAATGAAAAGATAATTTTAATTTGAAACAAAATTAAAAGTTGGAAAAAAAACGAAGTCATAAAATAAAATAAAACGGATCAGCTGTCTATCTCGCTTAGTGTTATTTCATCATCTTTTTGAGTAGACACACATGAGAAGTACGGTGTGTACCATTGAAAAGCAACGGAAAAATTAGAAATTTGAAAAAGAAAAATATATATAAGAATAGCAACAATTTATACCAGAGGAAGATGTACAGCGCGTCTACGAGTGGAATAAACATTAAAAATTCTAACGAATTTTTAGAACACAAAAACAAAGAATCTAGTTGCAATTCCGAAAATTTAGCCAAAGAAATTTGTACTAAAATTAAGGGATTTCTTTGATTACAATTTTAAATAGCATCACCACCATATATAATATATTTTTGCTTCTAAGACCAAAGAATTTAATTTAGTAGCAGTTATAGTTTTTGGTATGTCAATCAACAAACAAAAATATCAACAAAAATTACGCGCACAAATGTACGAAGTAAATTTTTGATCATAAAATTGTTAATAACAATAATACAAAATAAATTACCAGGATAATTAGCAAAAACATTATCCGGAAATAAGGAAATACACACTATAAAGTGATATCTCGTCTACTCAAAAATAAAATTCACACACAGCACTTATTAAGCTTAAAAGAGCTAAGGAGCAAGCATTTCCGCTATTTATTTTTATACGTATTTTGAAAATTATTTTATATAAGAAGTTACAAATTAAAAAATTCAAAAATGCCTTCAATCAATTCAAAAACAATAACACCGAAAGGTCTAGGCAAATATAATGTCTTCTCACATGTCAAATATGAGCATTTAGTAGCAGGCATATCTGGAGGTGTTACATCAACTCTGGTTCTACATCCATTGGACTTAATAAAAATTCGTTTTGCTGGTAAGTTTAAATTATTTGTTTATATTAATATATATATATAAATACTTAAAAATTTGAAAACATGTATTTAATTATAAACTTAATTTTGTTAAATAACTTGTTCTCAAAAAAATCAATAGTTAAATCGTCTGTATATATAACATATTGTATAGTGTTCTGCATTTGATTTAAAATTCATAAATTTTTTAAATATTTTGATTTTCGACATTACTATATCGAATTTTTAAGCAAAGAATACTTTTATGTGATAATATGTTCAGCTCAACGCTAATGAATACTGTTTTATAATTTTATACAGATTTTAAGCAATGTATATACACGAAGTTTATGAATCATTTAAAGTTTTTTCTTAGAAAATATAATTTAAATTTTTGACTATACTATTTAATATAAAATATTCTTTGCTACTGTTAATGTTTTGATATTAATAATTTATAAATGGTTTCACACACAGTCGCTATAATCGTTAAAATTTTTTTCAGTAGTTTCAAAACTTTTTATCCTTATATTGTATAAAATGATTACTTAAAATACAATATAAATATATTGTTTAAAATCTAATTACAATTTATGTACGCAATATTATCAAAATTCGTTGTCAAACAAACACATACCTGCTTTGGGGGATGTTGAACGGCACTTAATCGTCTTTGACGAGTGGCTCAGGGACGTACACCCAGCGGTTCTTGGAACCATCAAAATTCGTAGTTTCTTTTTCTTGGGTTGCAGGTATTTCCTATTTTTGAGCGTTCAATTTACTCAAAAAAAAATCAAATAAATAAATAGATACAAATCAGTTTGTACCTATAGAGTCAATATATTTCAATTATGGATAATGTGATCTAGCCATACTTTGACAAAACTAATAATAATTTCTTTGCTAGGTATCGTCTTTAGTTTGACGTTGTAGCGAATGCTGAAGATCTTATGTTTGAGTTTTAGGGATCTATAAATTTTCTTAAGTACTTTTCATTCAAAGATTACGAACCCCTAAATTTATAAATATATATATGGTATATAAATTTGAAATTTTGAATCATAGATACATTTGCGACTTGTTTACTAATCACGATTTTATTTAATTACTTACTCATTGCATGATGTTGACATTGTGCTCTTCCTAAATTTTATTTACAATTTAATTTATTTCTTTATTTTGATTTGAATTCTTCATATTTAATTTCTTATCAGTTACAATTTATAAATGTATATATACATATTGTATAATAAACTTATTTCCCAAATCACTACAATGAAAAAGTGCGACTAGACAGTCTGTAGACATTAAATAAACTATGACGCATCGCATAATTAAATTATTAAACTTTGAGTTGATTTTATTTTGAATTTTCACTGCAGTAAGAAAATTAATGTATTGCATTTATTTGGGCTTTCCTCTCTTTACATGGTGGATTAGCCTATACTTATTTCTAGGCCATCCACATAAAACAAGTGTGGAAAATTTTATTTGTAAGTTCCATGGAAAAAATGTTTCGTTTTCATTACTTACATTTATCGAAAGAAAAGTGTGGGCTGGGTGGGGAGATGCTCTGAAACATGTGCTTGTTCATGCGCTAATGCAGTGACCAGTAACTAGTCAAAATGTAAACAGACGGAATTGAAAAGTGCTGAACGCAAATGGCATATGCAATTCAGCAAAGCTGCATGTGTAACAAGATAGCAACAAATCAAATTACGTATGCATAAGTATATATGCATTTATATATAATTTGTATATTAAATGTTATAAAATAATCAAATATAAATTTATCACAGTATTCAATTAATTTTTTCGTTCGAATTTTATTTAATATAGTTTAATTTTATGTTTAAATGAATTTGTAAAAACATTTTATGGGTTAAAATACATCGATACATCGTTTAAACTAAATAGATGGTTCTTTAACAATTTCCTTATGGTAATTAACTACCTAAATCTTTCATCTGAACTAGAGAATTTATAATTCGTATGGCAAAAGAATTCTGATTAATTGTTTTAATTCTTTCCGGTTTAACTAGGCTTTGTTTGGTATTAATGAGAAAATTTCATAATAGATTTAAATTACTTTAAGCTAATTTTTATATGTCTGTTCCTATAGTGCATATAAATTATATGCAATATTACAAATATTTTTGTATATAATATACATATTTATAAGTGTTCACGTTCTTAGTTTGTGATTCCAAAATTGTATAAATTATTTTTTTATACGTCATTAATATAGGATTTTTTTTCAGTTTTGCTTATGTTGTATTTCTGACAATAATATAGAAAACTGGCTATATTTGCATAATTACGCACAATAATGGTTTATTGTTGTTTATCATATATTTAATATAAATATTGTTGTTTTCATTCTTATCGTTATTTTCTACATAATCGTAAATTAAATAAGCATCGATAGTAAAAAAATATCCAATTATTTGTTTATTGTTGCTTTTTAGTTATAATAACAATATGTTTTCCTATAAACTGTTGGATATACTTCCCATATTGAAAATAATATACATATGTGTATTTTTTAATAGTTTTTGTAATCGTACTTACTTCTCTTACATAAATATTATATCTGTTTTTTAGTTGGTTATTTTGCAGGAAATGCTTTACTTTCTAAATAATATTAGATTTGATAAGAATTATATAAGATAACAGCTCCTACGTAAATATGTGTTGGGGGGTTTTATCATTTTGTTTTTCTTTTTTGTATAAAGTAAATATTGCTCATAACGGTGGTAAAAGCAATTGTTGTTTACACAAAAAAAAAAAAAAAATAAATCGCACCATGTTTTCTTTGAATAATACAAAATGAAAAATAAATTAATTAGCAAATTTTTGTACAAATATTTTTGTATTTAATAAATGTGAGTATTTACAAATTCACATAAACACAATCTGAAGTAATGTTAATTAGCTGCAGAAGCCAATATCTCTAATCGTTATACAATAACAACTGTTCCGGTTTAAGACTAGTTTGTGTTTCTCTTCACTACAAGCGCTTTCCTCCTGACATTTAAACCATTTCATTTCCATTGTTTCCATTTTTTATATTTGCTTTAATATCAAAAACAAATTTAGGCGCTTGTACCCATAAAATTCTTCCATATTTTTTTCAATTTTGGTTATTTTTGTCATTGATGTAAGATATTCTTTTTTTCTTCGATTTCGCATACTTTTCAGTCTACCTGTTTCTTTAAAAACTCACGTGATCGACTGTACATTTTGACAGCTGTTTTCAAATTCTCCGTTTTCATTGAAACTGTTAACACTAATACCAACGAAAAATTAGCTCGCAAAGAAACTCGTATTTATATCTTAAAGCGATGGAAAGAGTACCTAATTGTTTTTGTTTTTTTTTTTTTGACTGCAATTTGTTGTTCTTTCATGTTTTCAGTTTTGTTTTCACGTTTTCTGTTGCCATGTGCGCGATACATTCACGATTTTGGAACGTGACTCATCTATTTACTTGATTTGTTTTTATCGCAATTTATACAAGTTTGATCCATATAACAAAAACAAAAAAAATGGTGTATTAATTTTTTATAGATCATGGAAATAATATAAAAATTCATATACATACCTATACATATTTAATTAATATAAGTTTATCTGTAATTAATTTTAAAACAAAAGAATTATGATTACAATTATATATAAAAGCAGTAAGGTTAAATAAAAAGAAATTACTTGTAAGCTTAAGTTTAAAGTTAATTAAAAACATAACATAGTTGAAATCACTAAAAATAGTAAAACAAGTAAAGATATCAATAGGAAATATGTATATTAAATAATAACTAACATATTTACGTTAATCTATAATAAGTTGCACTAATTAAAATTCAAAAACAGTAGGAGTGTTCACGATGTAAAAAGTTTACTTCACACAAAATGTATTAAAAAAGAACAATTTTGCAAAAGAACAAAGCAAAAAATATTAGCACCACCACAAAAGAAATTGTCATTATAGATCTTACATTTAAACTATCATATTATCATAATAGAATCGTTGTCTATAAAGTTTTTACATATTAATAAAGAAACAGTTCAGTACAAAAGATCTTCTATGTTATTAGCGCTCTGTTGCAATGGAAAACTAGAGTTATATTTTTTTCCATATTTTTTCTATATAAAAAAATCGTATATTGATTTTGAGCTTATTCTTATATCAATTTGTTTTTTTTTTTCATGAAAGAGAAAAAATATCGATTTTTTCAAGTATTACATATATTATGAATGTATTACTTTAAAGGTAAATTGTGTTTAAAAACGAGTAAATAATTGGATTTATTATAAATTTCTCCTTGTTTTAAGTTATATATGTATATGTATGTATGTTTGGATATGTAAATGGTAAATTGTCCAGAATTATTAAAAACAAAATTCTTATATTTTTATTAAGAAGAGTAAAATGTGCAGTGTTGTGGTATGTTTCATATAGCTGTTATTTATTTTATTTATTTATTAATAATGATAGTTTAGTTTATAAAACTAATACTAACAAGTATAGATGTAGCTTTGGCTACTGAGACCTTCAGCTATATATTGCTTTTATTATTCTTTACAATTTTTAATAATTCTTCAGATATAATTTATGACATCGAATTTTTACCCTTTTTGATGATTTATTTCTATGTTATGTCTTTTCATAGAATATATACTTGTAACAAAATATATGTATACACGTAATACAACAGGTTTTATGATGTTGACACACTTTGGTTAATCTTTCGTTTCTTAACTATACTTTTGAAGGTCGTTTTTTCGATCTTATGACTTCTAAAATATTTTTTATTATAAAAAAACAAAATACTATTTTTTTGATAAAACTAAATGTTAATAAATAAGTTGTTTGTTTTTTTACATATGAAATTAAAAAAAAAAAAAATTTTACCCCTCCTAGTACACGCCCACTTAAACAACTTCCTATCACTAAGAAAATTGCCTGTTGGTTGAGTTGCTGTTGCCAACAAAGTGGCGAGCCCCTCTTTTTAATTGCGTGCGATTTTTTATTTATTTTAAAAGTCACCTTCTATAAAATATTTTGCACGTTTCGCTAATTTAAATTAAAATCTGATTTTTATTTTTTGGTCACAAGTTGATAATTGAAAAACAAGTCTATTTTTTATTAAATGATCGCGTTTATAAAAAAACAGTTTTTTATTTTATTTTTATAAAAATTAGCGAAAACAATGAAAACAATGAAAACATGTAGAATTTCATCGAAATATCGTCGACTGTACTCGACGCACGACTTGGCCAAACATTATAAGTTGACGTTATTGTTGCTAATATTTGTTGTTGCACAATTATTTTCGGGCTTATCAACAAATTCAAATGACGGCACATTATCGTGTATTAACATTATCTCAACCTAAGCTAAAAACAAAAAATATTTTTCATAAATTTCACAGAATTATTAACATTTTGACATTATAAGTGAATTTTTCCATTTATGTGAACGAGTAAATATGTTTTCATAATAGAAATGGTAAATAGGGGCACGTTTGAATTCGAAGAGGATTAGAAATTTAGATTAGAGTTTAATTCATGACATCTTATTTAGCACTGGTAATAGGTTTTGTATTTGAAACGTTGTATATAACTTGTTCATTTGAAGTTTTCAGCATTCAATTTATAATTTGGTATAAATTAGTATATGGGTACACCTTACTTACCTATTACTAAGTATTACATTTATAATTTCTATTAGAAATATAGACAACTTAGCAATTCACCGTTATGCCATCGAATTTCTTCTGTTTTTATAAGGAAGGAATTTTTTTTATTTAAGTTTTAGTTTAAGCAATAGCTTAACATACATTATGTATATAAATTATATAACATATGTTAGTAGTAGTTCTGAATTATATTAATGTTATATAGACTTTCTAGAATTCTATGTACAGTCTTACCATACTAATTTCAAGAAACTAAAACATTGAAAAGACACTAAACTAATAACGAAATCTTGTCAGTCTTCACATACCAATTACATGCTTTCGTAATTCGCAAAGGTGATATATTTTTTTAAGAGGAAAAATATTCTATAACTTAAATTTTTTCTATCCAAAAATATTTGCAATTATAAATTTCATTTTTCAATATTTTAATTTATTTTAAAACACAAGTCATGTGCCGCCGTCTCTATTAAAAAAAGGAATGAATTTACAAAATCTTCACGCTGAAGATTATACATATATAAGTATCGACACCGTGTGTGTATTGCTACGAAATAATTTCTTAATAGATATACGGAATTTTTACAAACATGTATGACAAAGCTATAAAGAGACCGATATGAGAAGTTTATGACACAAATTTTTAACTTTGAAGTAGCAATTGATTTTTTTTATCAAAACAAAAAGTTCTTAACAAATCTTATTTCATTGTCATTATACATATATTAATTTTGTTTTTATGTAATTATGCAAATACTATACAAAATTAATTATACTATTTAAATAATATTTTACAGTTAATGATGGCCGTACGGCAGCAGTACCACAATATCGCGGTTTGGGTAGTGCCTTTAGCACAATATTTCGGCAAGAGGGTTTCCGTGGTCTATACAGAGGTGTAACACCAAATGTCTGGGGTTCGGGCTCATCATGGGGTTTATATTTTATGTTGTGAGTTATAAATGACATTGAAATAAAATAACTTATTTACTTATACATATGTATGTTTATATTTTAATTTTTGTGTAGTTACAATACTATCAAGACCTTCGTGCAGGGTGGTAATACCACACAACCACTTGGTCCGACAATGCATATGTTAATAGCAGCTGAATCAGGTGTACTTACACTTCTACTGACAAATCCCATTTGGGTTGTAAAGACACGTTTATGCCTACAGTATGGTGGAGAAAATGTTGCAGCTGGCAGTAAGTCCGCAGTGGAGTATCGTGGCATGGTGCATGGTTTGTCACACATCTATAGAGAGGAAGGTGTACGCGGTTTATATAGAGTAAGTATATAAAAAGTATTTTTAAATTAATTTGGTTATACTATGCATTGTTTATTTATTTACTTTTAGGGCTTTGTTCCCGGCATGTTTGGTGTTTCTCATGGAGCACTACAATTTATGGTCTATGAAGAGTTGAAAAATAATTACAATGAATATAGAAAATTACCAATTGATACGAAATTAGTAAGTATATGAATTAATTAAATCTGTTATGTTATAAATAATTGTATACATAAAAATTTATATTATTTTAAGAATTTTGTGTATATGTCATAATAGTATTTTGTGTTAGTATTTTGAGTATAATATATTGCATTTTTTATATTACATTTGCATGGTCTTTTAAAGAAGAAAAGTACAAAATTTTACTTTTAGAATAACAACTAAAATAAGTAGGTATGTGAACAATATGTTTTTTAAAAAATTTAAGTATAATTATAAAATATTGAAATATATAAAAAATATTTTTTAAATGGTACATTATCAATGAAAAAAAAGCTAAAGTTTTTGATTAATTAAGCTGGAACCAGTGAAAGTAATAAATATCGCTAGTTATAATAATACCTCGCCCTAAGGAAGAAGTCAAACAAACTTCGAAACGTCGGTGATAGTTATATAGAATAGTATATAATAATGAAATAAAAAAAACTGATTTATAAGCTTTTATTTCATTTCTTCACTACAGACTTTTATTAACTATAAGGTAATAAATATTTACCTAAAGCAACAACATTTATTTTTATCATTTATATCTGATTTTCCATATTAATATAATGAAATTAATATAGCAGTATAAATAGTTCTTATCCTGTGTTTCTACTATCAGTTTGTTACACTGTTCCATCCTAAAGAAGAAGTCAAACTTCGAAACTTTGGCAATATTTATATAAGAAATAACTATATGAAATAAATTAAAAATAAATAGCCACTTTTTTTACCTAATAGTTTACAAAAAAGTCTTTAAAAAATAAGCGCCTTATCTCTTTATGTTGTATATATAATTTAATAAAAAATTGCACTTAGCAACACAATATATACAAACATTAATGTATCTTTAAAATGAATTTCAGTATCTAATTTTCTAACAATACAATTTGTTTGAACACAGCATTTAGCGAATATTACAGCAAATAAAATGTTACAAAATAACACATTATCAGTTTCATTATAGTTTTTTGAAATAATCTACAAAAAAACATATGAGAGGAAAGTTAGCAACTAAACGTTTGCAATAAAACTGCGAAAAAAGCAACACATTTGTTAATATTTTTATTTCATTTATTACTTCCACTCTCATTTTTGATTGTTGCTAAGGGTTGTTGATTAATATATTTTTTATTTTGAATATTAATTATTTTAATTTTGTTGGTCTTATAATCATATGATGTTATCGCTTAGTAGGTCCATTTTGAAACGTCTTTTGAATGTGTATCTAATGAATTTGTTTGGCAAGTTACCAAATAAATAAATAATTTTATTTATTTGTAAAAATATAATTTGCTTTTTATATGAATATTATATATAAATTTAATGAAACCAACAGTTCATCCAAAAGAAACAAAACAAAACCAAAAAA